GGCAGTGCCCTGAAGGGGTGGCTGTGGTATAAATGCGGGGGAGGGGGATGTGCCTGGGGGAAGAAGTCCCGTGTGCATGCTAAATGCTGCCTTGGTAATGCTTTTAACTATTGTCCATGGTGCCCTGGGAGACACGGAGAAGACGGTTTTAGCAAGCCTAATCTGTGATTTTAAATTTTGTTTTTTATGGATTTAATGTATTTTATTTTATGTGCTTTATCTATACTGTGAGCTGCCTTGACCTCCATATGGAAGAAAGCTGGCTAATAAATGTTTTAAACAAATAAGTAAATAAAAATAAAAGTTCAATGTGCCTGATGTTCAAGCTAGATTCAGAAAAGGAAGAGGCACTGGAGATCATATTGCAAATTCACGGCAGTTACCAAAGCAAACAAGAGAATTTCAGAAGAAAATCAGTTTGTCTTTCACAGATTGCAGCTATGCTTTCAGCTGTGTGGATCATGAAACGCTATGGCTGGTTTTAAGAGACATGTGCATGCTACAGCATCTGATTGTTTTGATGAACAACCAATACTCTGGGCAAGACAGAATGTAGAGAAACAGAATGGTTTTCAATTGGCAAAGGTGTCAGACAAGGATGCATTTTATCTCCCTATCTCTTCAATCTATATACAGAACATATCATAAAGACAGCTGGATTAGATTTAGATAAAGGTAGAATTAAAATTGGGGGAAAGAACATTAACAATCTGAGATACGCAGATAACACCACACTACTGGCAGAAAACAGTGACTACTGATGGTTAAAGCAGAAAGTGCCAACGCAAGATTACAGCCGAACATCAAGAAGACAAAATAAGTCTGGACTTGTTCATCGATATGTTGTTGTACACTGTTCTTTGTTGTTGCAAAAATTAAATAAAACGTTTATTAAAAAAAGAAGACAAAATAAGGAGTACTGAGGAATTACACAACTTTAAGTTTGACAATGAAGAAATTGTTGAAGATTTTCTATTCCTTGGCTCAGTCAACAACCAAAAGGGAGGCTGCAACCAAGAAATCAGAAGTCGATTGAGGCTGGGAAGGGTAGCCATGAAGGAGCTAGAAAAGATTCTTAAGCATAATGATATGTTGCTGGTGAACAAGATCAAGTTAATTCATGCCATGGTATTCCCCATTACTATGTATGGGCATGAAAGCTGGACAGTGACAAAAACTGACAGTTGATTCATTGGCAATGTGGTGTTGAAGGAGAGTTTTATGGATACCATGGGCTGCCGAAAAGACAAAGTGCTTTGTAAATCAAATCAAGCCAGAACTCTCCCTAGATGCTAAAATGACTCAACTGAGGCTATTGTACTTCAGTTACATTGTGAGAAGACGAGAGTAACTGGAAAGGACAATAATGCTAGGAAACGTTGAAGGCGATTGACTCTACAAAGGAAGCCACAGCCCTCAGTTTGCAAGACTTGAGCAAGGCTGTTAACAGTAGCCTCTTCCTTGAATTCGCTTAATCCCTTTTTAAAGGCATCAGTATAACCAAGATCTCCCATCCACTAATGTCCATCTGTCTACTCTGACAGATGGTGCTACTCCGAGGGTCTCGTGAAGAGAAAGACCTCTCCCACTTTCTGCCTGCTTTAACCAGGGACACCAGGGACAGAACGCAGGGCCGTCTACAAGCAAAAGCTGTGTGCTCTACTACTTAGCCACAGCCTCTGTCTTATATGGAATCAGGCCACTGGTCCATCAAGGTCAGTATTGCCTACTCAGTCTGGCAGCAGTTCTCCAGGGTCTCAATCAGAGATCTTGCACACCACCAACTGCCTGGTCCTTTTAACTGGAGATGTTGGGGACTGAACCTGGGACCTTCTGCATGGCAAACAGAGGCTCTTTCCACTGAGCCACGGCCCCTCCCTGTCTTTGGCTGAAGTGTCTGGTGCTTATCACTAGCTGCACCTGGACATCGCCCTCCCCGAGACAATCAAAAGTAATTAAAACAAAACTGAGCAGGAGCAGAAAAGGGAAAGGGGGTGGCGGGTGGTGGCGCGAGTTAACCGAGCCAAAAATAACACAGTACAAAGAGCAGGTGAGACAAAAGAATAAGGAAGTAGGTGGAAGAGCTGCATAGATTATTGTGTGGGCGGCAACCCCAGAGGACGATTTAATTGCACTGCCTTGTCCCACCTCCTTTTTTGAACCCCCGTTCTGCAACTCCCACTTCTATTGTTCAGCCTGGGAACAGGCGCACAGAAGAGACACGAGGCCCCTTATTACTAAGCCTCCGGGCCAACTCTCAACTGACACTTCAGGCCCACGGCAGCTGCAGTTTGTAAGCAACCAAGGCTTGCTTGCAGCTTTTCGATCAAGTTTCAAAAGCCGACCTGCTCCCAGGCTCCGCGCTGGTGCCAGAATGAATGCAGCATTGAGCCACGCAAGCTGATACCAGCTCCCCCCCCACATCTCTGCTCAGATCCCGCTTGTCGTTCTACGCAGGGTGAAGATGGGGGGGGGCTTTAAAATTGAGGCCTGAAAAACTTGTTCTTTTTTTTAAACATCCGTCCTGATTAAGAGTTTTGGAGAACTTGGAGTTGTCAGCCCTTGTTTGGTAACCCCGGGAGACTTTGGGGGACCGAGAGTCCCAGAGCAGCATCCTGTGATATCATGAATGTTTTGGAGGAATGCTAGAGTGTCTGGAAATGCAGTGATGTCACTTCTGGTTACATAGCCGGAAATGACATCATGGTGTTACAGGATGACATTCCATTAGGGTTGCCAGCTCTGGGTGGGGAAATAGGGAGGATGGGGTTTGGGGAGGGGAGGGACTTCAGCAAGGTACAATGCCGCCCCCCCAAAGCAGCCATTTTTGCCAGAGGAACTGATCTCTATTGCCTGAAGATCAACTGTAATAGCAGGGTGTCTCCAGGCCCCTCCTGGAGGATGGCAACCCTACATTCTAACTGCTGCACACTCTCCCCCCCCCCTCGGTTGCTTGCTGGAGTGAGAGTGGGCACCTTGGAAATAATCACCCTAAGAGAACTCAAAAGCTTGCACACTGTTTTGAACTACATTGCTCAAAAGCGGCCTATAGCTGTACGTTTTTAACATTAGGAACTGTATGTCGTAAGGTATAAATATTTTAATAAGTTAAAGAAAAGGGTGTTAGGAGAAGCTCAGTTTACAGCGACATGCATGGAGGTTTGCCCAAGTGGGCTAAAAAACCCACAGTGGACACAAGTCTCAAAGTTCATGCAAACTGGGCCTCTGTAATACTGCTGGTGCTTTCACACGAAGGGTGTGCAGCTGCACATCATTCTATAGCTACGCATTCTGGGGACAGTCTCCATTTCGGTCGCTGCTGGTCCACACGGACGAGCAGAAGCAACACAGGGGACAGAGCGGGGAAACAATCTGGATGTAAAAAAGTCAGCTGCCAGCTAGCACAGAAGGAACTCTTTCAAGGGCTATATAACTGAACCCTTCACAGGGGGCCCTTCCCCTGGCTCATTGCGAGACTCACAGCAAACTTGTTATAGAGCTGGTAGGTGAGCAGAGGGTTCGGCAGCTCCCGGAAGTACAGCTTGCAGAGAGAGCTGACGGAATGGATGTCCTGCAAGTAGACGTCCTTGGAGAGCTCAGGAACACGCTCGCTGTCGAACTCGTGCCTGGAGAAGGAAGAGGTGGTGGTGGTGGGGGGGAGATTACAAAAAAAGCAGCATGAATCCATAGCCCAGTGACCCATCTCCTTACCCATTCAAGCCTGTCTTTCACTTTAGGATTAAAAAAGAGAGAGAGAGGTTGCATCCTGCAACTCTAGGTCCAGAGTAGGACTTACCGTAACCGCTGGATGTTGGAGGAAACCCCAGAGAGGCGATAGATTCCGTCCACAATGCCATGCTTCTCAATGAACTCAGAGCAGGAACGCAGGACCTGGGGAACTGGAATAAGAATTTTATTTAATTTATTATTTACAGTCTACCTTTTGCACTGAGGCTCAAGGGAGATTATACAGTTAAAAGCCATGCAGTCAGAGCACTGTAATACACGCAGTCAATAGTGCAGTAAAAGGGGATTACCAAATTAAAGAGGAGCACAGTTGAAAACGGTATACGACACAGAGTAAAACAGGATAACACACACAATGAAACAAAGCTCAGTTACAAAATCAGAGAAATGGAGCAACCATGTAATGTAGACTACAGATAGCATAGTAAAGCTAAAATTTCGTAGACGTGCACTATGACCCTAATCCCTTTAAATAAAGGTCCTCTTGAACCATTCTATTAATTATTATTATTATTATTAGGGATTGGCACAGATCCAAACACTGAGCTGAAGTCTGGTCTGGACTTTGCCCAGTTTGGGGCTTGCAAGCTGAGGTTCAGGGAAGGCACCTTCCCCAGACACTCACCCCGAGCTTTTTGGGTGGGCTCAGGAATGTGTTCGGCCTGATGTGTGCCTGCCACTTCCAGGTGGCATTAGGCCCTGCCCCAGCCTATTCGCATTACCCAGAAATGACATAAGTGTGTCATTTCCAGAAAATGCGGGCACATCAGGGGGCAGGGCCCAATGCCGCCCGAACTGGTTCTGTTCAGGCAGGGTTTGGGGCTTGGGGGTTTGTTCTGGGGCCACCTGGCTCGTGAGCCCTGGACCGAACTAGGTTTCCCCAGTCTGTGCCCATCCCTAATAATTATAATGTTTTCCTAAGTACTCTAAGCTTTGCATATATACTATATTTGTAATCTTTAAAATGGTGACTCTATAAATTAGTCCAGAATTACCACCCAAGTTGTGCCAATTGATGGACATTAAAAAAATTACTGATCCCTCATTTCTTTCCAGGCTATGTGCTAATCCCATGGTCTCAGTCTGTCACAAGTAGTCCTAATGTGGTCCTGTGAAGAAGGACGTAGCTCTGGGGTCCCCAACCTTTCTGAGCCTGTGGGCACGTGTGGAATTCTGACACGGCATTGTGGGCACAGCTATAAAATGGCTGCCACAGGAGGCGGAGCCAGCCACAAAATGATGGCCACAGCTTAACCAGTAACACAGTGCAGATCCTTGCCAAAGCACCATTTTAAAAAATCAGCACCACCAACTGAATCGATCAGAAGCTTTGCTGGGGGGAAGAAGAAGAGAAGGAGGAGGAGATTGGATTTATACCCCATCCTCCACTACCTCAAGGAGTCTCAGAGTGGCTTACAATCGCCTTTCCTCCCCCCCCCCCCCAAAAGACCACCCTAGGCGCAGGGAGGGCTGGATCCTCCCCCCCCCCCCACAACAGACACTCTGTGAGGTAGGTGGGGCTGAGAGAGCTCTTTCAAGAACTGCTCTCGAGAGAACAGCTGTGAGAGAACTGTGACTGACCCAAGGTCACACCAGCAGCTGCTTGTGGAGGAGTACGGAATCAAACCCAGTTCTCCCAGATTAGAGTCCGCGCCAAAGTGGCTCTCTACCTGGCCCCACCCACTTCCTAAAAATACTTGACAGGCACTGGAAAAGGTGTCGGTGGGGGCCATGGGGCCCATGGGCTTCATGGTGGGGACCCCTGGTGTAGCTAGTCACAGAGATAAAAGGAATGGCACCTGTAACGTTAGCCTGCAAGCATAGGAGAGGCCACGGGATGGGAAACAGCATCTGGGCTGCTGGAGGGGGGTAGAAGAGGAAGCCGTAGCAACAGGGCCCAGGCACACTGCTCGCTACACCACAAAGGCAGTTTGCAAGAAGTAAAAGGTAAAGGTTCCCTTGCTCGAAAGCCAGTCGAATCCGACTCTAGGGTTGCGGTGCTCATCTCCGTTTCAAAGCCGAAGAGCCAGCGCTGTCCGAAGACGTTTCCATGGTCATGTGGCCAGCATGACTAAACACCAAGGCGCACGGAACACTGTTACCTTCCCAACGAAGTGGTACCTATTTATCTACTTGCAATTTCTTGCATTCGAACTGCTAGGTTGGCAGGAGCTGGAACTAGAGACGGGAGCTCACTCCATCATGCGGCAACCTGGGTCTTGAACTGCTGAACTACTGACCTTCCACAGCCTGCAGTTCAGCGTCTTAACCACTTGAGTCACCGCAGCTCCTAAGAAGAGGGAACTACGGGTTTAATCTCAGTGGCCCTACAGCGCCACCACCAATTCTGGCCAAAGGGTGTATTGCAGCTTCCACCCCAACTGGACCAGGTAGACCTGTGGTGACAAGTAGGGTTCCATCTGGCCTAATGGAAGCATTGATTGTGTTTATTTATTTACTTCAGAGATTTCTACACTACTGCTTCAGAGTCCCGCTTGAGATGGCTTACAATTAAAAACCACAATATAAAAAAGTAATTAAAAACAAGCCGTTGGACATAAGCAGTAGAAAAAACTTCCCATACAACACAAGCACACCATTATAAAGCTGATAAGATAAACCCCCTAATTAAAAGCCTGGGTAAAAAGATGTGTTTTAGCTCAGAGCCTAAAAGGAAGTCTAATAGGCACCAGGGTGAGCCTCAAGGGGAGGGCGTTACTCAGACAGTTTGCCCAAGAAACAGAGGAGTCTGCCCCACTTACAGGCCTCTTGAAGCCCTTCCTGAATTTAAACTAATCCAGTGGTTCACTACATGGTGCCTGGTGCCTGCCAACACCATTCCACCAAGTGGTTCTAGAAACTGGGCAGGGCTCAGGGGGCCTTTTCCCCAGCTGGGCTTCTGATTGGCTGTGCAGATGAAAAGGCATCCTGTTAGAACTTCTGCCCAAAATGTTGAAGAGTTACTATTAGACTTGTATATCATCTCAATCCCTGACTTTTTGTGGTTGGCTCTGCTTCCTGCAGCAGCCATTTTGCAACTGTCCCCACTGCCCTTTGTCAGAATTCCAAAGGTGCACGCAGGGTCAAAAAGGTTGGGGACCCCTGAGCTACAGAATCTTGTCTGAAGCAGTGGCTGAAGAGCTCTTTTCCTTCCTTCCTTCCTTCCTTCCTTCCTTCCTTCCTTCCTTCCTTCCTTCCTTCCTTCCGCCCTCCTTCCCCCAACTCGACTACTCTCTGTGGGGCCACAGTGTTGCGCTCTCACCATCGCTGCCGGCATTCTTGAGGTGCTCGCCCAAGTCGCAGCCAAAGACCCTCTCCCGGAGAATCCCGCGCTGTTTGAGGCGCTGCTTGCTGGGCCTGGACTTCATGAAGGTGCGAAGGAACCCAATCAGCTTCCCGTGCTTCTTAGACACTGAAAAGAGGGTGCAGAGTCCGAATTTAGCATCACCTCAGAACTAAGACATTACAGCGGAGGTTCTCCCGCATGGCTATCGGTAACCAAGCGAAGAGAGATCACACAGCCGAGACGAGCGCAATCGAGATGTAGCGTTTAGACAGTTGGTCTAGGATTGAGGAGGCTCTGGTTCAAATCTCTCTCAGCCACAAAAACTGCCGGGTGACTTTGGGCCGGTCATTCTCTCTCAGCCTAAGCTACCTCATAGGGGTGTTGGGAGGATAAAATGGAGAGGGGAGAAGCCATGGGGACAGTAGGACAAGACTATACTAGATAATGACACCAGATAGCTTTAAAAGGGGGTTAGAGAGATTCACAGAGGAGAGATCCATCAGTGGCCATGGTGACTGAAGGGAGACTCAGTTTACAGAGTCAGCAAACCTTTCCAGAAACGTGACTCAGGCAGGCAGGTTTTCTAACCTCTCGAGGAGGGAGATTTCACTAGCCACAATCCACCCCCCCCCCCCCCCTGCTTTGTCTCTTGGGTAGACTCCAAGAGGCAAGAGAGCAGAGCAGATGCCAGGGGAGAGGCAATCCTTACGTTAGGAGCAGGGCTTTAAAGATTGGAAGAGGCTTTGGCTCAGTGGGAGAGCATCTGAGTTGTGCACAGGACAGAGGTCATTTCGGGGGGTATCGCGGTTCCCCCGGGTGAGGTACGGGGGGCGGGGCACATGACGAAGCCCCGCCCCCTGCTTCCGGCCGCCCTGCTTCCGGCCCTCATTCAGCCAGGAGGAGGCAGGAGAAGAGGGAGGGTAAGTTGCTTCCTCCCTGCCTCTCCCCACCCCTGCCTGCCTGGGGCCAGGGAGGGCCTTGGCGGGGCTTCCTC